AATGTTTTTTTTTTTTGTTTAAAAAAAAAAGCTGTTAAAAAAATATTTTTCATTTGTGTTTAATTAATCAAAGTTGAACATCAATTTTCAATTATTATTAATATTATTTTGATCAAAGAGAAAATTTTATCCATTGTAGCGAAATATTTTCATTACTTTTTATGAAAATTTCATCTCTTTCAATTTTTTAATATTTATTTAACCAACGAAAATGATTGATTAACATTATTGTGAGTATTGATTAATTTATTTATGAAAATGAATTTTTTAACATTTTAGAGCTTTTTTACTGGAATTTTTTTGTTATATTTGTGAGGGTAAAAAAAAATTTTAGGTGGTTGTGCTAATGGTAATTACTGTCAATGATGATAATAATAATTACTCAATTTTTTGTTCAATTCAGGATCCTCAAAAGAGAACGAGATTTCGAAATCTATAATTTTCTGCATCTATAGAAAAAAGAGTGCATACCTCCCATTCATATCGTTGCATGGAATATCATTAATTTTCTGAATAAGGAAATTTGTAATTTGCAAATAAATTTATGAAATTTATTTAGTAAATTAGGGGAAAAAAAATATTATTTACTCGAAATAAATGCTCTTATTTAAATTGAGAATCATCTTGACTGACAATGGACATCATTTGCACATCAATAGTCCTGTCAATATTATACTCATCGTTTGGTTTCGGTTTACTTGCTATGTAAAAGATGCAGCTGCTGAAAGTTTTCGTCTCACCAACTAAATCATCTCGCTATTCAGCAAAATGTCCTTTTTTAAGCATCTAAAAAGAGAAAAAGATTCAGGTTTTATAAAGAACAGCACCTGCCTCTCTTGTGGTTTTTATTTTTTTTACTTTTTTTGTTTTATTCTTTTGTTCATTGTTTTATTTAGTTTTATCTTTGCCGCAGGAGCTTCTTGTACATGATACATTTCCTCTGGTTGTGTAAAGCTGCTTTATTTTTGTTCATTAGTTAAGTTTTTTCGTGGTTGAATTATCTCTCTGATTCAATTAATAGAAGTATTGAATAAGTTCAAGGAAATAATTTTCCCTCTTCTATTGCTTTACATTGAAATTTATTTGGTAAAAATTGTCAAGTACAGAAAATTTCAATTCCTCAGCAAATTCGTTGAGCAAAAAAACAATTGATAAGATGATTTATAATTTCCTAGCTTTCGGATTTATTTCTTAACATTATCCTAATGACTTTTATGTTGGATAATAAAATTTGCAAAGACTATGACATTACTCTCAATGCACAAATGATTGGATTCAGTGCAAAAATTTTTCATTCGTTTAATTTCTACCTTTCAGCAGTTTTCACGTTCACCAGTTCTGCCCTCGGGACTTCTTTCTTCTGTATATTCATCTTCGACGAGGTTAGATACTGTGGAGTAACGAGTTCGCAGATCACATTCCATCTATTGAAGATGCGCTCGATGGTTCAACACCATTGACTGAATGTCGCTTCCAGACATTTTCTCGTGTTTAGTTTTTCTATCATTCTTTATTTTCTTTTTTTTTGCATTCTGCTGTAATATATCTCCAAGTAAGCCCCGAGGCGCCACATGTATGCATCTCTGACAATCTACATCCAAATGAATCCACTTATAATCTAAATGTTTTTTTTTTTTATTATGAACAACCGTTTGTAAGTGTCATTTGATAGACATTTAGAAACGTGTGTCAACATAACATTTAAATTTATTGAGTTGCATGTAATGACGTTAAGATGATTAAATCTTATGCAGGAATGATATACTTTACTAATAATATCGATGAAAAGTAGGTCCCAAAGGTCTCGAAAATATTGGAATATGGGTATATTTATCCATTTGAAGTCAATTTTAAACCTTAAAGTGGCCATTATTATTGGAAAGGATTTTTTTCGGTCAAAATTCAAATTTATAATTGATTTTTTTACCTTTCAATTCTCATTTTAGATTTTCAGAAAGCTCATTAATTATTTAATTAATGATTTTTTTGTGAAAATATAATTTATCCTTAAATTCTCTATTTTTGAGTCTATTGAAACTAAAATTAAAATTTTTCAAACTAAAAAAAAAATTCTTTTTTCTTCTTGGATTAAATTTATTATTCTTTCTCTCGAATCTTAACCTTTTTTCAAAAAAAATATCTCTAAATTGATTAAAAATGACATAGTATTGGTAGAATGGTGTCTCTAGTATAGCAAAAACGCTATTCTGTGATTTCATAAACATCAAATATTATCGCACAAGTCTTGTCTATTCCTTACCCGAGGCAGAAAAAATATGTTTTCCAATATTTTGTTATATTATTTGAAATCCTAGACCTTTCATAAATATTTTTAGGTGTTTAAATTTAGAAAATGAGTTAATTTAATACGAAAGCTTGCTTTGGAGTAAATTATTCAATACAATTAAATATTTATAGACTGTATTGAAACGTTTTTTTACTGTTGATGTGTTGGAAAGTATATAAAAAATGTATGGAGGATATAAAAATAACGTATCTAGAATTATTTATTAAGTCACATATAAAAAAAAATTATTTTTTTTGAGGATTTAAGTCATTTTTTATTGCATAAAAGCATTCGTCTATTTTTAAAAAAAAAACCTCAATATATGACGGTTTTTTTTTAAATTCTACGTTACTCATATAAAAGGTTTATCTTTATTAATATCGAATATTGATTACACTTTTTTTTATTCTCCTTTCTTACTAAATTGTTTTGACATGTGTCGATATCAAATACAAGCTTGAACTCCAAACTGGTCAGCACAACAGATTAACGAATTGAAAAAATATAGAGTCTTACAGTCAGCATTTTTTTTGCAAGTTGTTGATGAAAGCTGATGTTGAAGCTTGTCCCATGGTGGACAAATTCGATAGCCTGGAATCATTATCAAACATAATTACATATAATTCTTAATTAACATATTGAACAAACTGTCCTGAATGATATTTATTGAAAATAAAACTCACTTTCTCCAGGACGTGCATCAATAAAGCTCACCATCGTCATCATCATCATCACACAAATTAAGCTGATGAAAATTTTTTCTAAAAAGTGATAAAAAAAAAGTTTATTCCAGTTAGAATAATTTAAGTAAAAATAATGATTCGAAAATGCACTCACTTGAAGCCATGAGGGAATTTTTATCCTACCACTAAAATAGTTTCTATACTTTATTGAAGATTACAAGTCATCTGATGTCATAATCTTACCAATCAGCTATTTATACTTACTGAAGAATCTAATAAGGATAAAAAATTTATAATCCACACTTGTTCAATTAGGACAAAAGTATTATTTAAATACTCCCAGATATGTGGATTCTTACATGACGAATTAATTCAACTTCATTTTAAATTAAAATTATAAAAAAAGTAAAGCAATTTCATTCATTGTTTAGAGATAAGTAGCTTATTATAATTCAATCAAAATATTTTCTACAATTAAAAAATTTTTTATCGATGAGCATGAATAAAAGAAATATTTATTTATGATGATAACAGAGTCTGAATCATGATAAATAAATGATATAGAATTTCTGAAAGTCACGTTGATTTAATGTACTTTTCATTGCCATCTATTACAAAGATATATATTTATGCGAATGGTAATTATGCATAAACAATGTATTTATTGCATAATATTCAAATAATTAGATTAATAAAAATAATGAATTCTCTGTGCCGTTTAATTACCATCTTTTAATTTACGATGTAATGATAAGAATCAACATTTGTTAATTCATAAAATAACGGACGGTGAGTTCAAACAATATCTATTACGGAAAATAAATAATACATATCACCATAAAATGAATGCGTGTTATCTTCACTTGTAAACAAATGTGGCTAATGAAAATTAACCAGGCATTCGAATTTTATGCAAATAGAAGACAAAAAGGGTATTGTTCTCCTCGAAGGATTTATTTTTAATGCAATATTTACATTGAATTTTCCCTGGTGATGTTTTTTTCAAAAGCTGGCTTGAAAGTTTAGTTTGAAAATAAAAAAAAGAGAAAACTGTAGTGTGGATAAACATATTTTTGGAGAATATTTTACACTTTAGAGATCTAGTATAGAACACGTATAGGATGCGTGAGTTTTCGAGGGTTAAAAAGCATCAGGATTTGCATTTTTTTCTAGCTGTCTGTGAGAAGTTATGAGTGTGGTCGTCGTTTTCATGGATATATAAAGCTATTTGCCGTTTAAACAAGCTGCGGCCATGGCTCTTTCAATATACTCTGAGGGTTGATACCCTTGGCTAGCTTCCTCTGGGTACTTAAACCCAAGAAAGACATCAATATTACAGAAGTTTACTCGAGGAACACTATAAAATGTCTAGTTCAAGCAAAAACTCACTTGGAAAAAAATGAAAAAATTTTGATTACACGTGTAAATGTATTCATGAAATATTTACTTGATTCTTTGAGAGTTTCAATCAGTTTTATCGAGTTAATTGAAGAGTCTTTGTTAACAAAAATAAATAAATAATATCTTCTCTGTAGATTTTACAAATAATAGCTTGAAATGAAAGTTTGAAAACAGGATGAGACGAAAAAATTATTTTTGAAATCTGCTGAATACATTTATGAAATGAATAAAGCATCATTCCTGTCTTTTAATTAAAAACGAAGTTAAGAAAATAAATAAAAATGTTTTTTAACCAAAAAACGAAACTAATTTATAAAGAAAAAGCATTTTCTGTCATGATTTACTTTAATAAATTCCTTTCAAGTTTTTATTCATTATTTTCTTTTATATATTTTTAAAAATATTTAAAACAATACTTCCCTATATAATGAAGCTTAATAATTAAAAATAATAGTATTCATTTATTTATTTTATTTTTATTTAAAGATAAACTCTACTTTGTTGTTTAAAACTTTTTCGTGTTATCTACAATCTCATTGTCAGAAAACTGTCAAAAGTCTTTCAACCTAAAACTAAAGTTTTTAATTAAAATTAGAATAATAAATAATCTATTTTCTCAAACGTTTCAGCAACAAACTAAATGCAAATCTTGCATTAGAACTGTTTGGAGATTCAGCCGGACTACGGTCAACAGTTGAATAATACGAGCCGAAGAGATGGGATGAAGCTAGAGACGTATAAGAGAAGACGAGAGGATCTTGTGAATTCAGTAGTTAGAAGGTGAACAAGAGGAGATACTCCTTGGTTAGAACTTGATTCCCAGTACTGCATAATAACTATTATAGTAACCATGATGCAGAAGAAGGAGAATAACGTCAAACAACTGAACAGGTGAGAGCAGAAAAAAGTGAAAGAAACAAAATCGAACCTCAATAGATGTTAGATGGAAAGATAGTAAGATCAGTAGATATACGAAACATTGGTAGAAAAAAAAAGAAAAATGCAAGAATAGTGGTTTTGTAGATTCAGACTTGAATTTCTTCAGAGACTAAGCACAAGACTCGATAATTCTTTTTTTTTCTTACTCTTCCCCCCTCACTGTCACGATAAATCTAGCGACGCTGATATCGCTCTACGATATTTCCATCGGCTTTTTATCTTGTCGTTTCTTGTTCCTTTGGGATGGATCATTATCCGGTTCTTTACTCGTCTCCTACCTCAGACGACATCCGACAATTCTGTCGACTTCTTCAATCATTCTGAATTTTAAAGGTTTAAAAATCAAACGATGCATTGATAATGCTATAAAAGAATGTCTCGTGAAATAAATATATATTAAATCATGATATTACTCATGAAATATTACAGCTATCCAAATGGTTAATTAGTTACAAAATTTATTGCAATACGTTCATCTTGCTGCTAATAATTCTACATTCAAAATGACCTCTTGTAACGATTTTAATTAATCATAAATGCTTTCGTGAAAGTGCCAATTTAACTTCATGACAGCTCAGAGTGATAATATAATAGCTTCGAGCTCATTTTTATAATGAAACGCGCTTTTTTCGTGAGCTTTATGAATATATTATTTAATTATGAAAATGCGATCACCAGGGTTGTTTTTTTATTGGAGTTTTCACTTGATGTAGCTTGATATAGCATTCACTGGCGGGATGAAAAACGTGGAATTTATATCAAATTTATGGATCATAATAATCATTCGTGATTTTATTTCAGGGGCCACTAACCAACAGGTTATTTCACGGGAATTTCGGTTAAATTTTTTTTGTAATGAATACAAATTTGCATCAACAATGCGTTGACTTGTTTTTTAGCATGAACAATAAAGGTTTAATATTTTCTGGAGAGAATTTGTTTATTATTATTAAAAAAAAAAATAATAGTAAACATTTTTAGTTACACGACAAAAAGCTCTCAAGCTCTTTTAATTAAAAAAAATTTCGTCAATTAATAACTTAATTTAATTTTTTATCAGAATAATGCATTTGTTTAACAGAAATATTATTATGATTTTAATTATGGAATTTTTAGCAACAAAACAGTGTATATTACTATCATAAATAATAAAAAAAACATTAAATCCACGATTTGCATATCTACAATAATAATTTGCTGCCATAATGATTATCAGTAATTTATTTCAACAATTTCCTATGAAATTCTTACGATCTACAAGCTTGAATGTATCGTTTTCGTGACAATATTTTAAATTTGCAAGAAAAAAAAATCAATTTGCAATGTCTCGAAGCGAAAGAAATTCGTATTTCGTGACCCCATGAAAGTAGTTCCCTTGTAATCTTTCGCTCAAGAAAAACCACTGTACAATCTCTCGTGCGTTCAAGCGCACTGCTATTTACCGTGTAGAAATGAGGGGTTGTGTCGCCGATTTGCGGAAATTTCATAACGTCCTCGGAGAGAGAATGGACCTTTGGCATCGTAGGCACATTGTTCAACACACACGTAGGGCTGAAATAACAAAAGGATACGAAGCAGCAAGCTTATCATGTGCAATATAAGCATTCTGAGCCATAACAAGCACGCATCACTGCACGTTTCAACTAAAAACAGAAAAGGGATGTGAAACACACGTCATATATGAAGGCACGTGGACAACAAAAGCACTAGGGTTTTTTTTTTCTATTCTCTCCTGCAGTTAAACTATTACATAATATATCGTAAGTCGGGATTTAAATCTCCTATTATTAACCACCCCTTGTGTCTCGTATCAACAAGTCAAGTTGTAAAAGTTTAAATCCCTCGACCTTGTCATCATTACATCCAGGTGTACTATTTTCATGTAGTTACCAGATGTATACTGAGTTTTAAGCGTAGGTATCCGTACGTTAAACTGAACTAGGACAACCCCAACACAATTTTCGTAGTGTTGACTTCATTTGAGCACAATGGCCACCCATTGTGCCGTTGTAACACAATGAGTCCAATGGACAATTTCTATTCTAGAGGAAAGAAAAATCTGCTAACAATTTTTAGTTTAACTCTGATATATGAGAAAAATGATATTGTTTTGTATTGAGAAAAGTTGGATAATTTTACTACTTTCAGAATGAAACAAAAACATTTGTTTGTCTTTATGAGGAAATTATTCTAATTTAGATAAGACGAATTAGAGATGGTACTGATGAGGTTGACTTGGAATTAAATTTGATAAAATTATTGCTAGAAGATGAGATAAGTTATGATAAAGTATTAATTTTAGGAATTAAAATTGTTTTTTGTTTAATAGAAGAAGTTATCTTTGGTACTATTTTTGTCTTTATTTACAAAAAAGCTCTAGAGCTTAGGTTTTTATTTTTGGTATACGTGTAAACTAATAGCTATCATCGTGCTTTGGAGTTGTTGGACAAAGCGAGAGATATGGTCACAATTGCCAAGGGGACTTGGCAATTGTGGCATATTTACATAACATCCAGGTGCCTATAGAGGTAATGCATTGCTGTGCACTTCATGCTCATATAACACCATCAACTCCAGCTAGTCTATCTTGTTTCACAAATATTCAACAACCACTCACAATGAACGCTTTCTTTACCCTTAAAAATATTCAGTAAAATCACAAATGCTTTATTTGATTAGTTAAAAAGTCAACACATGAAAAAAAGTTTTATTTGTTTGTATATCAGCTTGTTGTTTTATAGTTTACAAACTGCGTTTGATGTTATTGGTCAAATAATTACTTCAACATTTCTCTTGATGAGATGCAGTTAAACTCATAACTTTACAGTAATTAGCACTGTTCTGCTATTTCTTTTTCAATTACTTCATCGTCCATGAACTTCAATTACGCTGTTCAAACATGTAATTAACAAATATGTATTAATATTAACATTCTTTCATTAAGCTGAAGTATTTTTAAAAAATTTTACTTTTATAAAAATCCTATTTTGAATATTTACTCAAAAATACATATTTATTTAGAGAAGGAATCTTTTATTTCAAGAAAGTATTTACATATTTAGATGAAAAACATTATTTGAATGAAAATCAGTTGGTTTACATTATGAAAATCATGAAAATTAAACTGTTTTATTCATATCATAAATAACCAGAAAAAATATTACTGAATTCATGGTAGGATTTTTCATCTTATAGGTGTCTGTCGATATAAATTTCTTTCGATTAAAAAAATTAATTCTCTCTATTCAATCACTTCTTAACAATCAGCTGAATGTTTAAAGGGGCCCTGCAAGGTAGTATTTCACACCAAACCAATTCTCATAAAAATTCTAATTTTCGTAAAAATTTCTGAATTACGCATGATCTGGAGGAGGTTGATTTCAAGCACTATATAAATTTCATGTAAATTTAGACCGGTTGATTTGCAAACACAATGCCAATGAATTCCACATTTGCCTAAAGCGAGGGTGCGTATAGACACAAATATTCTAACACACTCAGTGCCTTTCCAATTCCCTGCAGCTTTCATGACGACTCAACCCTTTCTCAACGCCTACCCTCCGATCCTGAGATGTCGGTCTTTCGCAGATTCAGTACTTTATTCATAGCGTGATTTCAAAGAAGCTCTACGTGACATTTTGAACGTGTCAAGAGGTACAAAGTAAAGAGCAGAACGAGAGGGTCTGCATCACTGCGATTTTCGTTTCTGCGTCTAGAGAGGGAGTTGTTTGATGCAAACGATGATATGCCTGCCGACATCGAATAAAACAAGTCACGCGAGTTAGATGCAACACTTCAGATTGCTGTGAGAAAATGAAATTTATTACCGTGCATAGGTAAGAATTGTTAAGTCTAGCTATTTATTGTTACAGTGGAAAAAGTATAAAACTAAGGTACATAATTAAATCATGAGTTTAAAACCTTGTAAAAAAAAATGCTCACAAAAAATCTGCACAAAAATCTACGGAATCATTTATTTTGCCAGGTCACCTAAATATCAATTTGTTTTTTTTCATCCACATATATAGAAAATAATCATGAATAATTTTCACATTAAGAAAGTAGAACATTTAGTTTAATCATCAATATTTAAACTGAAAAACTTCATGATAATTTACACTACTTTATTCGTTTGAATTAATTATAAAGAACTAAATTTTCGTAATGATTTTATCTCTAATGGATTATAATATTTACAATAAATTGTTCTCAGGGTTAATTGTTCATTTATTGCATTAATGCAGTTCATTCTCATACTCACTTATTCAAGAAGATAAGGCGTCATAAAACTTATAAAATGTAATATCATAAAAAAATACATTTTATTTCAATTTTATCTTGAATTTTAATGATTTAGATTTTTTTTACATAGCACAAAATAAATTAGAAAGAAATTCAAGCAAAGTTTCTTCTAATGTAACAAGTAATAATGGAAATAATTAAAAATGAATCAGCTCAATTATTAATTCATTCCATTACTAGAGTCCATTTTCGTCCTTAATAATATTTAAATAAAAAAAAGCACATCAATCTCGATAGAAATAAGTAATATATTCCATCAATGAATTGGATCAGACAGAAATCCTTTTGAATAATAAATAAACGAAGCAGTAAATTTTTTATATTTTGTTAAATAAAATTTTCATTAATTACTATTCAGTATTAAAGATAATAAATGAATAATTGATAAATTGTTTGAATATTTACATAAAAAAAATTTAAAATATTTAAAAAGAAGTATTTCAGTCTAATAATCTAAAGATGGTTGAATAAAAGCCATAAAGATGATGGAATAAAATTCACCATTTGATAAATATATCAAGAGCTGAGGAGACAATACCTTAACACTTCATTTCCACCGTCTGTACGTCAAGTTTTTACCATGAATTTAGAAAATCATTTATTCAAACAGGTCACCTAAATATTAGAATATCTCATGCATACCAATGTAATTTTGACACGAGACACATAGTGTAAAGGCGTTGTCTACGTCTTTTCTTGATTGCCTATATAGTGCATGAGATCGTATGAAGGTAGAGAGAAGAGAAGCAGTAGGAGAAGTGGGTGATCGTCACGACGGAACGCGCGGTAGTATTTCACGTCCTCCGTGT